GTAAATCCAGGTTCGCTTTTAATGTGGGTATACCATTTTGTCAACATTTTAGGATGAGGCTGGCAACTATTGGAGGCTTTTCTGACGTAATCATAGCCCTTTGGAGAGTAAAAATTTAAAGATAAGCAAAATTTTCTGATGGCCGGGGAATATATAATAATTTTTTTACCGGAGCTTCGCATGTGTAAATTATGAAAAAATTCAGTTGCTATAATATTCTCACTTAACAAGCTATGAGTGTCGCAATTTATAAAGTTTTTAACTTTTAAATCCTTTAAAATATTTTTAGTGAATCACTCCTTTTTTTTAGTCGTCGATTTTTTTGTTGTAATGTTTTTAACTTATGTTTAGTAGCAACTCGTAACAACTTATGTTTTCTTAAATCTTTTCTTAATTGACTTTTTCTAGGTGTATCGAATATAGAGTCCAGGTCCGAATCTCTAAATTCAGGTAATACAGAATTATCTTTAATAGATTTTTCAGGTAGTTGACTAGCTTCGAGTAAGTTTGAAGGACCAACTTGGTCCAAACTTGGTTTTTCCGGTGATGGCGGCAACGCGCATAAATTTTTGGTCGGTTTTGCACTTTTGTTAATCAATCGACGACCTTTTTCGGTAAAGTATACATCATCCTCTTTAAAATGCAATGAGCATACAACACAAAATTTTGAAGGCATCCAATTATTATCCTGCCTACTTTGACGAATAATAGTAACCCATTCATCGCGTAGTACTAGATCCGTCGGCAATCTGAAAAACATAAGTCAAATTATTGTATATAACAATAAAATAGAGCGGCCGATAGAAAATCTCAAAATTGAAAAACATAGCACTAATTGGTGGGTTAAAATAAATAACAAGATTTTCGAACAAAGATATAATATATATACATAAGTTATTTCCGTATATAAATGTATAAATTAATCAATCCTCCTATGTCCAATGCACATTCCCCTAATTCAAGGAGACCTATTTCGATGTAAACTGGCAACACAGACCAATTGTTGACAATATTTTGTGTTCCGAGAGAGCCAAATATATTAGAGGGAACATAAATAACAAACCATTAAAATAAGCAATAGTTACCTGTGGAAAGATACTCCATCTTCTTTTCTTTGTTTTTGGGAACAACTTTTACAATGTTTAAAAACACAAGACGGCATGTTTTAACATAAAATAATAAATCACTTGTGACGTGTAAGCAGTACGACGCGTAGTTTAGTACTGACGCGAGATTGTATTCGCTTCTGAATTTGTATTTGCTTTCGTGGCTTCACTCTCGTGTTCTACGCGCTCCATCTGTCTATTCTTTAATCTGAGGTTTTTCCATACAATGTTGGAAGTAGATATATTATCTTGGTCAATTCATTGCAAATGTGTTATTTCTTTAAATAAAGAAAAACTGAGTTCATAACGTACTCAAGAGGTCAACTCTGTCTTAGTTGTACCTTTATCTTAGGTCATTTAATCTGTCAAGCACCTCTAGTCGATATCGGTCTTCTGCATGAGAAGTTTTTAGACCCCGTCAAAGAGTATAGTAATATTTAGAAGGGACCCCTAAGAACCACAGAGTACATTATATTGCTCAAAATCATAGATACGAGTACTCAGAAATATTCTTTTTAAACGTTAATACGAATTATATTATTTTATTTTCAGTAAACTTGTTTGGTTTTGTTATTTATTATTAGTTTTTACCATTGCAATTGTTGATAGTCCAGGAGAAATTGGCGCATGGGTACCGAAAACTATTCCACAAATTTTTTATGCGATTCTCTTCAAATGATCTTACTGTTGATATAAATGTTCTCACTACGGGGCAACTCCCTATCATATTGCTTAAACAGCTTTTTTCAATTTCAAGGAATTGTTATTTTTAAACGCGACAAATTTTTTAGAATAAAATTGATATTTTCAGTGTTATGAATTTTAGGTTTGAAAAATCTCAGATTCGGATACATTGGTCACATTAATAATATACACTGAGTCCCAGAAAGAATGGATAATCCTGGAGCGCCTAGTAGTACAGGTATTAGGCGCTCAAATAAAAATAAAAATACAATATATATATATATTCCAAGTGGTGCCAAAAATGTTTTAAAATAATATGTTTTTATTGACCTTACTATACTTTCATGTACACCACTGCCGCATATTAATAAAATTAATATAACTATTCTATTAGAAATGCAGTAAAGAGTTGAGTGTCTATTGTACTTTTTTACAAAAAAAAATTTCAATTTTTAGCATGAAATTTTATAAAAAAATAATTTTGAGCCATTCGTGGAAAAAAATGGTATGAAGACATACGTAGACAACTATTTCAAAAATATGCGCAGTTAATACAGTTTACAATATTGTATAATAAATAATTTTATCCCAAAATAGAAAATTAAAAAATCTTATCTTTTCTGTAACGATGAAAATGACGAGGGCGTTCTTGAGTGAAAAAGTCCTTTTTATTGTATAATTATAAAGATCGTATAATACCGATATTTAGTACCTGAGTGTGCCACGTTACCTATCTTTTGTTTATTATGATTTACAAGACAGGGATAGGTAGAGTGTAAGTGAGCGAGAGAAGAGTATAATGTTAATACATTGTACCTTTTCTCCCTCGACCGGGCACATAACATAGGCAAGTATTTAGTGCGTCTCTCGACTTGTTGGGTATCGCATTTGTGCATTCCTTTTGGAGTACCCTGTGATTTTAAGCTCAGTGTTATAACGACGAGTCCTGGCTATTTCATTGGAATCTTAGTTTTGCTTTGTGATTTGGACTTTATTTGGTAATTTTACGACAACTTGGCTTGTATCTGGACTGATATTGTGCATCAAGATGATATTGAATACGTGGGTATTCAATATACTGCACAAGAACTGTCGTCATCGACTGTCTGCTAGGTAGACAGTTTACTCCCGTTCTAGCTAAATAGCTGTTAAATATTTGATTTCTTCAGCTACATAAATAGCACCTGTGCTTATAAACATATTTAATAGCAGAACATATAAAAAACGAGTATTTTTGTAAAGTCTTACGGAAAAATATTGGTACACATAATCATCTTATTTAAATTAAACGATAATTAGTATGAACTACCGTCTAACATTTTCATACATTTATAATTTAATTTGCTTAATAAATATAATAAATGAACTAAACAAAAATGACTTTCGGTTGTTTTTTTAAATAAAGTCGATATATCGATATTTTTTTCGATTTATAAAACTCCGATATTGACTTACTATATATTAATTTACGATATATAAAGCTCCAACATTGATATATTTATAATTATCGATATATCAAAAATACGATATTTTTAAAAATATCACGGTCCTAGGTTGAACTGATCAGTTGGAATCATCAGTTAAACAGACCGTGTGTGTGGAAATTTCTGTGGCTTAAATCCGTTCGAACTGATATCAGTTCGACTGATGACTTAAAATGACCGTGTGTGGCCACCATAATATTCTGATATAGATCTAGTATAAACTCCAGTCCGCTGGAGTCTATATTAAACGTAGACAGAGAAATCTATAGACTAATGATTAGCGTGGCCTCGAGTGAGAAAGGACGATAACGTAGTTTTAGGTTTTACAATAATCTTTATGACTTTTAAACATATTTAGATAATACTATTAATTTTTCTAAGAACTGAACTGAACAAGATTCATCAATCTTAAGCTCACAAAACACTTTTTTCTCACTTAAACCAACTTGTAAACTCCTTAGATCGCTACGAACTGTCAAAGTTGTTTAGAAAAGTGTAGTTTGCTAAACAAAAATATCGGCACGGAGAAAGGAACAAACAATCACACCGCTCTGTCTCATTTCTAAGCAAGACGTATGCGTAAATCTATCTCTTTCGTGTGCGAATGCGAAAGAAGGCGTCAATTTGTCTCTAGGTTTCTCTGTCTACGATATTAAATCTATGTATTCTAAGTCTATGGTCAGACCTATGGTCAAGCCAAAAAATGAAGGTAAGTACATAGACTTTGAATATACTGTCGTATAATAAAAAATAAACTTAAGCAATTTTCTTTAAATTCTCAACTTAAAAAACAAATTACTGTCATGGACAGTTTCCTTGGAATTTCTTTTTTAACATAATGTTAATAAAATATATGTAGATAGATACTTATTGATTAAAACTACTTTTACGGATTTTTTCGTGTTTAATTTACTTAAGGGACTGAGGTGACTGACGTCCCAATGTCAGTCTTAACTCGGAGTACCTTCAGCTTTTTAATTATTACCTATGGTTCGATCTGCAGTGGTATGCTTGTGTTTAGTTTTATAATTTATATTTAATTTTTCTATAAATTATTTATATAATTATATTCTATAAATTCTACAAATTATTTCTATAAGTATTATATAAATTTCTATTTTGCTATATTGCCATAACGAATTTTTTTGTCACTTGCACACTATGTCCGTCTATATACGCCGGTTAGTCTATGGGTGTGACTAAGTTGGTCAAATAAAATGGAGCCTGAGCGGTTAACACTACCTGTTTCTGCCCTACCCAGTGACCCAATGTATCTTATTCCTAGTAGTGGCTTTATGGAAACTGGTAAAAAAAAAACAGGATACACGATATACGAACATTGAATTCCATTTAAAATTTATGTACAGATTATGTAAAACGTCTCCTCGTAAATCCTTCAATACTTCACATCAATCCTAAAGATATGTCTGATGTTCTCAATCTTCATATAAATTCAAATATTTAACATTGATTGAGCGAAACAATGGCTGCAAAAAGTTTATATTCATTGTTGCATTATTATAATCTTTAATTAGCTTATTATTATTGTTGTGATATGTATGCAAGGTTTATGTTAAGTTCACTGTAATAGATAACGTAGTATTGTATGTTTTGGACATCTGTTAGTTTGTGTCCACGCATTAGACAATCCGTGCGTTATCTACTTATACATACTTACACGGAAGTTGTACCATAATAAAATAAAATAAATTATATTAAAATTTAGTCAACGATTGGCGCCAGAAGGTAATTATAAATCTAAAGTATATAATCTAAAGTATTATAAATTTGTTAATTCATCATTAATTTTAAGATTAAAAAAAGTCTTTGCTGGCTTACGCTGTCACCATATGGCAGTTATATAATTAGATATACATACAGGATATATAAACTCTATCAAATTATTATGTTTTTCATACTCCATTTTTATCATGAACAGGATTTTTAAATTCCATTAAAGATATGTCGTTTTATCGGTGATGTCTTGCTGTCAAAGAGGCTTATATACAGCTTCATCGGACTTAGGGCTTGCTCTACACAGTAACTAACCATTACATACTAATAGCATAACATCACCCTTAACAATTAGAAAAATCTTATTGTAACACTCTGGGGTAGGTATATAACAAAAATGACCTTATTAAAAATAATAGTATTTTATTTTTACAAAATTTTATGTAGTTTTATATACATAAACAAAAAATGTGTTGCGTAAATTAGTTTTTGCATAATGATTTGCCGAGTTGCAAATTCGTAACGTATAAAGTTATGAAATAAAGGTGTACAATGGTTAAACTATGAAATATATTTAAAAAATTCGCAAAGCAATTGAAGATGCTTGTAGGATGCAAAAAAGAATTAATTTTTTCATCACTGCAGGTAATGAGCTCTGGATAAGGTTGGTAAACTTAAAAACTAAAAAACCGACTTAAAAATTAAAAATTCAGTAATTATTTGTCCCTTATGAGTGTATATCAGAAACTCAAGTTAAAACTAGAATGTTATTTAAATACTTGTCATAAATAAATTGAGAATATTCTCGTTATTACTAAGTATATCACGCAGAAAAACCCTGAGATAGCCCTCCATATTTCGCTGTGCGACCTTAAGTTTCCTCATACGGCCAGAAGTAATAGACCACCTCTCAGATTCATATGTAATTACTGTCAACACGAGGTGGTTGTTTAATCTCGTTTTGAGGTATATCCGACGAGAAGATACGTCGTAATCACCCGAACGAGTTTACGAGAGTAAACACCAGTCGAGTTGAATCGGTCCATTGACCTTTCGCCGAAGTTGCACTTACCTAAACAGACTATTTGTCCTTGACTCTTTACTCATTACAATATTACATATTATTAAAATTTTAATCAAAATTACTTGTTTAAAGGTATCTATAAAAATTTGCTGTGTGGAAGCGTAGGAAAATTCATCATCCGATTTCGGTGTCGTAAGAGGCAACTTTGGAAATGCCAGAAAAGCGATATAACTACTAAAAGCTTTCAAAACATTGTTAAGATGTAAAACCATCTTGTTTACGCCTAGGGTTACTAACTGCCAGTCCGGTCCGGTTCTAACCGGATTTTAAAAGCTAAGATTGGACTCCGCCAGGATATCGATACAAACCGGATTTTTACCACGACGACTATAGGTACTTATAGACGGCTCTACTTGTGTGTCGTGAATTGGGGTACACTTAAAGTTTTGCGTAAATCATACATAAAACAATTTATAGATAAATTAATATATTTACTGTTAATAAAAGTTATATCCATTACATTTAAACACTTCTCCATTTGTCCAAACCATTTCTAAAACATAATAACCATTGGTCTGAGGGCTAAGTTATAAATGCCTCTTCTGACTCTGTAAGTGTCAAAACTGTTATCAAATCTTTGATTATTGAGAAAAGCGCATTGTGTGAGGTCTGAATTATATGTGGAATGGATTACGAGCTCCCGAACACCCTTTTCAGAAGTCAAAAATGACTTTGCTTTGTCCGTGGTGCGCGTGGTGGCCAAGCATTCTCATGGTGGCCAAGCATTCTCATGGTGGCCAAGCATTCTCATGGTGCAATAGCATGCGAATTCTTGGTCGTTTTACCCTAATATTTGTAAAGACAACAGAAAAACAAATAATGGTGTACCACTCAGCATTAACTGCTTTTTGCTCATAAAGTAGGATCGTGCAGACAAGACCAATCTGGGAGAAAAAAAAAAACATTTTTTTACTCCCGCTTCTCACCTCTCTTAATTTTTTTGGTTTGCTGCCGCCATTGAATGCCCAAACAAATAACTGTTGTTTTTTCCGGAATGGAACTATATTCATACGTGGTAGAGCCATGCTGCAGTTATATTAGTAGTCGGCTCGATCGGGGAAGGACCTAGGGTTGCCAGATCGGAAGAGCGAAATATCTGGATATAATATGAAAATGTCGGGATTTTGGATTTGTTGTCGGGAGAAATAAATGTTAAAAATAAAAATGTTAAACAAAAATATGATTTTTTAAATTAATGGGCTACAAATATATTTAACATTGTTAACAGATAATTAATGTAACTACACTTAATTTTGGGGTTGCCACAGGTATTTGGCTTTGCACTTCACTAAATGCACCAATTTGGATCCTTTAGTGGGATTAAGAAAAAATTTAAAATTTAAACAATTTTCGTCAAAGTTCAGTCTAATCAGAAGCTTTGCTTTTATTAATTCATTAGCCATACGGATTCCCTCTTTGGTATATAAATTATATAGTAAACTAAACACCCTTTCACAGTAAGCATTGATTACAGGAATTGACAACACAAATGATATAATTTTTTTTTTAATTTTTGTTTTCGTATTGGTTACATTTTAAAAAAAAAATATACCCAAATTTTGTCATTTGACATGTCTTTGTCTTTCGGAAGATGTTCAAATATCTCTCGAAGACAACAGTAATCAGTATATAAAGAATCTTGGTCAATATAGTTTGAAATATTGAGAATGTCTGCCAACGCGGATAGTTCTTCCCACGTAAATAAATTTGCACTTTTTAGAGACAATATAGCAAGTTTTTTGTATAAAAAGTTCTCAGAAAAATCATAGCGTTCTTGTAAATATTTAATTTAACGTTTTAAAAACTGTTCAGCTTCGACGCAATAAAGGTGTTTCTCACTATCAGAAACATTTCTTAATAAGTTTCTATTTTCCTACCAAAGAATTTGTCCTCGAATCTGTTTTTAAGATAACTTATCAGTTTTTTCATTACACTGTCAATTTCTAAGACAGTGCATGCATCACTTTCCAATGCTAAAAATGTTACTTGGAACTCCAACATTACGTTGTGCATAAAGTATAAATACGCTTTCGAAATTCTTTCCTGTTTGCATTCAACGACTCCTTCACTATTATCAATACGGCTTAGGCTTCTGGTTACAAACTCCCATATCTCTTTCCGACATTCTTCTTCCCCTTTCAATAAAAAATACTGCTTTACGGCTGGCTGGCTGATCTAAAGCAGGCAAAAAGACAGCCATCTTGTTGGGACATGACGAGGAAGATTTTTGTACTCGACACTTGCAAATAAGAAACATTATTTTAGTTTCTCAGTCTTGATATAATTTTTCATGAAAATTAAATTTCAATTATCATAGTCATAGTCATTTATTCCAAAAACAATATACATTGTGTGGGAAAACTTAATTGTAACAAAAAATATTAAATTTAATTAATTAACATTATACGTGTTAATACTATGTTATATATCAACTTAGTTATTAATTAAATAATGCATGCAATATTAATTTTAACCAAACTCAATATAATCATTCACTGAATAGAAACATTTTTCCAATAAAAAAGATTTTAACCTTTGTTTAAAAATTTTAACATTATTTATGGTTTTTAGGGTCAAAAAGTTTCGACTTTAGTGTCAATAATTTCCTTAAGCCAATATTCTTGCGTCCTATATCTCCCGATACCTACCTACTTACGTTACTACTAGAAGCTGTGAAACAGTGCGCGCGCGACGAAGTAAACCTACCACAAAAATCTAAATAATAAAGTACTGTTATGGTCCTGAAACTGCCTTATTATTTAGATTTCTGTGGAACCTACAAATCGGGCGGGGTTATAGCGTTCTACCATTCCACGCCACGCCACCCGCCTCCCGCACCCGTTTAACATGGACCAGGACCGGCGTTCCATTTGAAAATGGAGTGAAAGTGAAAGTGCGCGGCAATTTTAAATCATTATTTTGTATAGAACTTTGCGAGGAGCTGTTTGTCGGGAGATTTTGAGTTTTGTCGGGAGTCGGGAGATCATTTAAAATGTCGGGAGAATCCAGATGAATCCCGACCATCTCTCAACCATCTGGCAACCCTAGAAGGACCACGCTCTCACGTAATACCGGCGTCAAATAGTAGCTTAATGTGTTTCGTATGGTGAGTGTAGAGAACCGGAGACCCTTTTTACTGGAAACGAGGCATTCCATCTTAGTCCTCACGGGTGACAACGCATCTGCATTTAGATTCGTAATCGAAGATAGATGTAGCTGTCTATGGGCCACAGCAACTACTTACCGACAGGTGGACTGTGTGCTCGTTTGTCACCCTATCCTATAAAAAATATATATATCCAATTTTCATCTCCTCTCATAATGACATCATTAGAACGTCTGTCATCATACTTTAACATTTGTTACATCCATCAACTTGAGCTCGTTTTTGTTCTGGGTGAGTTCATGAGAAAAACAGCTGTAACAAAGTTTTCTGACTATTAACCTCTCAAACGCCAATCGTACATATTTGACCGTTTCGATATTCCGTCAAAATTCAAGCGGTCAAATTTGACCGCACCCATCCACAGCACTTTAACCCCTAAATACTCATGTATGTTTAGAGACTACATTACTATGAAGAAGTTTTAGGCAAGGCAAGGCGTTATAGAATCAATATGAAATTTCCTATCCTCTAGTGGAATAAAAAACAGTTAGTCTGTGGATATTAATTTATATTCTACGTTTATTACGTACGCCATTTTCATTTCGATGTTGTTGTGTTGATTTTGGGATTTTTCTAGAGTTTTATTAGTGTTTTACTATAGTGTTTTATTATAAAAATATAATTCATATTTTTACGTAAATAATTTCGATTAATATATAGAAATAATTGTGATTTTCACGCTGCCGACATCCGTTTGGTATGTTTTTTTGTTATCAAACTACAATAAAATCATTTTGTAATGAAGTAAAACCTGACTTTTTT